AACCCCAGCAGGGTCCTTATTCAGTTACTTCGTTTGGGTCATTAGAGTTTGTTCCATGACTGTACTCTTATTAAACTTATGGTGCTTAGTTTGTCCTCTTTCGATGCCAAGGTAGTTTACAGCTTACCCTGGGTCTATCCAGTTCTTTTGTGAGGACACCCTCCTTTTGGGGGTGTTAGGAAGTAAGGGCAACTGAGGCTTAAGTCAAGTAAATATGATGGATGCCCAGGAGTAAATATTTATTTGGAATCAATTAACTCCCATGCTACAAAAGCACAGCATCAACTGTCTTCCTGTGTTTATACAAAAATGACATAGCTTATGATCTCTTATGTTGGCTGCGTGCAAGGCAAACGCCCTACCGCTGTGCTATCGCTCCAGCCCAGGGCTGGAGCGATAGCACAGCGGTAGGGCTGGAGCAATAGCACAGCGGTAGGGTGTTTGCCTTGCACGCAGCCAACATGGCCGACCCGAGTTCGATTCCTCCGTCCCTCTCGGAGAGCCCGGCAAGCTACCAAGAGTATCTTGCTGGCACGGCAGAGCCTGGCAAGCCACCCGTGATGTATTCGATATGCCAAACACAGTAACAACAAAATCTCCAATGGAGACGTTACTGGGCCAGCTTGAGCAAATGATCTCTTAAATTGGGGTCCATGTGAGCTTCTATATCCCCTCCTGAAATTATAGGCAAACATTTTCCTGAAGGGAGGATGCCTGCCTTCATCAGATTCTTCCAAAGAAAGAAGATTCAAAGTTAGAACTTAAGACCAGTTCATTGAGGATTCTTCCATTCACTCATACCATCAAAATCAGAATAATGGCTACAGTTTGGGAACTTCATGTACCAAATCAGGACTTTATGTATTTTATTTCTTATCCTTACAAAACCCCTGCAATAGGGGGCTGGTACAGAGATTAAGGCACTTACCATACACATGGTTGTGGCCAAGGCAAGGGTTTGAATGCTGGTCCCCTGGTACAGTATGGTATCCTGAGCACTTTCAGGTATGGCCAGAGTACAGAGCCAGGTATGGTCCCTTAAGAGCTGCTGGTATACCACTCCTAAGCCCCTCCCCTACTCACCAAACCAAAAAAGCTCCTGGAATGTAAATATCACCATCTCCATTTTACAGATACAGGAATTGAGGCTCAGAATGAATGATTTGCCACATATAACTATATAGCTCTTTGTAAATGCTTAGGACTGGAGCGATAGCACAGTGGGTAGGGTGTTTGCCTTGTACACGGCCAACCCGGGCAACCTGGGTTCGATTCCTCCACCCCTCTTGGAGAGCCCGGCAAGCTACTGATCGAATCTCGCCCGCACGGCAAAGCCTGGCAAGCTACCCGTGACTTACTCCATATGCCAAACACAGTAACAAGTCTCATTGCTCTATCTCACCACTCCATAGATGAACAACAGGACAGTGCTACAGTGCTACAGTATTCAGAGATCTGCTACACCAAAGCCTGGTTTCTGCTGCTAGACCACTGTGCCTCTGGTACAATTAGTTGCATAATTTCTGCACAGAACAAGCTAAGCTTGAAATACCAGGGCAGGACAGGAAATGAAAGAATGAAGTTAAAAGCCCAAGCATTTTTTTTTTCTTCACACAATTCTCTTTGACCAATGAAAATCATTACAAAGGGAAAAGAATTGCTTTTAAAAGAGGCACTTTGCCCTCAAGAGGTGTGGCTGAAAGGTTTCCTCAAGTGCAGTTCCTGTGGTATTATCTAGCCACAACCCAACTGTCTGTCATTACGCTGCACTTTAGAGGGTGTCTATGATTGGTCAACCAAGAGAGCAACATTTGAATTTAAAGAAAAGACCAAAACATGAAGGTCATTACTTCTATGAGAAAGATAAAGCTTCCTTGTTAGAGTCAGCTCCAACTGGAGTCAGAGATTAGTCCCCAGGGCCCCTCCTCCCTTTTAGGGTAAAACATGTGCTAACAGGTGTTATTACGTTAATTTTCTCAGCAATCAATCCTTGTTTTAAGTGAAATTCACTGAAAAGATATGTAAAGATGTGAAAGAGCTTTGTAAACTGTTAATTACATAAAAAGCTAGTAAATGCAAATTAGTTTGATTCCAAGTTTGCAAATATGAATCTTAAAAATAAAAGCAATCTAAAAATAAAATAAAATAAATAAAATAAAAATCTAAAAATAAAAGCAATATATACCTTTCCTTAAAGTCTGTATAAGAATGTGGCAGAATCAAAAGCAGCCACAGTTTGATTCCAAGTTTGCAAATATGAATCTTAAAAAAATAAAATAAAATAGCAAAATAAATAAAATAAAAATCTAAAAATAAAAGCAATATATACCTTTCCTCAAAGTCTGTATAAGAATGTGGCAGAATCAAAAGCAGCCACAATTCTTGATGCTTTCCTATTCCTCACTGGATCATTATTTATGCTTTTAGTTTATTTTACTTTCACTACTACTTTGAATCACTGTAAATGTATCTTAGAACTTTGCTTATTATGGAGAAGGTATATATAAATAGATAAAAAAAAAAAGCGTCAGACGGCTTTTTTGGGGCATGGGCATATTCGGCGGTACTCAGGGCATATCCCTGGCTCTGTGTTGAGGGATCTCTCCTCGATGGGCTCAGAGGGACCAAATCCCAAGGATCAAACCAGGGTTGGCCTGATCCTAATACAAGTGCCTTACCCTCTGTACTATCACTCAGGTCCTCAGATGACTTTTTTTTTTTTTCAAACAGAAAAAAATACATGATCTCAAGTTAGATAGAAAAACTGCACACTATCAAATACTTAATATATTTAATTCTGAGTCCAGGATGCATCGTCAGTTTAAAAATAGAGAGTGGGGCTGGAGTGATAGCACAGCAGGGAGGGCATTTGCCTCGCACGTGGTCAACCCGGGTCCGATTTCCAGCATCCCATATGGTCCCCTGAGCACTGCCAGGGGTAATTCCTGAGTACAGAGCCAGGAGTAACCCCTGTGCATCGCCAGGTGTGACCCAAAGAGCAAAAAAAAAGAAAATATATATATATATATATATATACATACACACACACATCATACACACACACACACACACACACACACACACACACACAGAAAGAGTGCTAGGATAGTACAGTGGGTAGGATGCTTGATTCGCTTGTGGCCAACCCAGGTTTGATGATCCCTGAGCATAAAGCCAGGAGTACCCCTGAGCATCATTGGGTGTAGCCACAAAACCAACAAAAACACCCCCTCGCCCCAATAAATACATAGAGGGGCTTAGAGTACAGGACAGCTGGCAGCACACTTGAGGTTTATGGGGCCGACCTAGATTCAATTCCTGGCATCCCACACTGTCCCTGAGTACTTTCAGGAGTGATCACAGAGTAGAGTCAGGAGTAAGTTTGAGCACCAGTGGCCTGTGACCCCAAAACCAAAATAAATTAAAATTACAGAAATATAAATGTACAAAATAATGTATTTTGGGTAATATAAATTCTTTTGACAATATAGCAACACAGTATAGATTAGAATTTTAGAAAACTTGAAATGTGGATACTCCAATCATCTGTTATTCCTCAGGAGAATCTTAAATTTTAATAGAAAAGGCTAAAAATGAAATTGTTTCAAGTTTACAATTTTCTTTTATGAACTAAGAGTCACAGAAAATCAGAGTAAAATTAGTTTTTTTGAAACTCACTTTATTAAAAAAAAAGTCATGAACAATAAATTACAATCATTTTCCCCCTTTATAAATTCTTCATAAAATATATTTGACAATTTTAAAAGAAAATTTCAAAAGTTGCTCTCATTTTTGAAGTGCTGATGACATTTGACCATTTTGTCATGCTGGTGAATTATTCTGTAGCTGCTACAACAGTTTGATTGATAAACATTTTACAATTAAAACAACAACAGCAATAACAAAGAGAAAAACAGACCAGAAGGAAGAACTATTCAGTGTGCTATTTATCTGACACTTAACACTTACTTTATCATAATGACAAAGTATCCCTTAGCACCAAAAATCTACAGGAACCCCATCTAGTGACAACTAGTGCAAAATAACATTCTAGAAACTAACTGTACAATCTCGTATTTTAACCTGCCACAGCTGCCTATAAGCTTATTTGAAATATTTGGTCTTTTTTCAATTAAGACAAATTTCATTAAACACTATAAACCACGGCAAGACTCTATGAGGAATAATTGTTTATTGAGTACCTATTATGAACAAGGCACTGTGCATAAATTCTTGCTTTTATTTTTCTTCTAGCAAATGCCAAATATTTTCCAAGAATCACACCTTATCTTTTATTTCTTACTCTTAGAGAAAGAAAAGGCTGTGGCTAGACTTCAGTTTTAAATTGTCATTTTCAACTGTTAGTGCTAAGCACACAGTAGGTACTTAATAAATACCTCTTTACTGAAAGAACAAATAAAGACAAACAAATTTACTATCATTTTGCTTGGTATTCATAGGTTATTTAAAAATACAAGAACTTGAGAAAATTTCAGAAGAAACTTCCTGATTGCCTCACACCCTACTGCTAATAAAAATCTTTCAAAATAAATAATTGCTATTTTAAATGAGGCAGGACGAAAAACTATATATGCAGGAAACCATAACTCTAGAAAATGACATAGTATAGAGCTATTTGGAAGGCAAATGAAGCACTGGGGCACCGTTACCTGAATCACGACTCTGCTGAAGTGTTGTATTTATTAACGAAACATTATGATGACACTTCTTACTTCTAGTAACTTGATCCCTTAGCTAACTCTGTCACACTAATTTGTGATATGAAGGGTCAGTTATCATGAGGTTCCAGTATATTTCCACATCTAATTTCTAAAAGATTTCTTACATTAGCCTGAAAGTGATGTCAGAAGGATTTTTTTCCCAGTTTAAAAAAGTTTTAAAACATTTCAATCTAATCTTGAAACTTTTAGATCAAGTAATGTGGTCTAGAAGTTTTTGTTGTCTTTTGTTCCCCACCCCCCACCTCGTCCACAGTCCCTGAACACGTATCAAACAAGGAAAAAATGTGACTGCAATATTCCAAGAGTTGTGGAAGTTCAAAATAGCTGGGGAGACTGCAAATTATCAACAACTTCAATATACTAATCCTTTCCCACCCCTTATTTTTTGACCAAAGAGTCTAGTGTTTTATAAAGATTAACCCAGATACAATGGTCTTAAAGTCTATCTAACCTTAAAGGCTAATGTTCTGTTTTAGGAAAACCTTCCTTAGATGTTAAACAATCTGCAATTTCAGGAAAACATACTGGAGAAAACTAAGTAGCATTAAAGTCAAATTGACTTCAAGAACGGTTTGTTTTTAAATACCCACACTGAGGAATTGTATAAAATGGTCAACTTTTTCCTTTAAAGAATATAGCTGATATATTTTACCCACTTGCTAAACTGTAGAGTATCATCTCCTACTTTAGAACAAGGGGATGAGCATTTAAATATAACCATATCACTACTGTTACTGTGTCAACATAGACAAAACATTAGTGTCAAAACGAAAGAAATTCCAGTGAATAAACAAGAGATCATTAAAAAAAAAAAAAGAGATCATTTCAAGGGAGGAAATGTGGAGTTCATTTAGTTTCTTCAACTTTATGCTGATGCTGAAGGTCTTAAAATAAAAAATTGATTATCAAGTACTAAATATAGAAAAGTTTTCGGAAACCTAAGACTTGTTCAGATTTATATCAGATTGTAGATGCTCAAGTGTAGACATGTACTAAAGCATTGGTTAATTGGTTACCTGAACATTTGGCTACTTACCTAAAGAAGGTACGGCTGAATCATCAATATCCTTGCCAACCTGCTACCACACAATTGCATGACTAATTCAACTCCTGTAGCTACAGGGCAACGGAGAGTGCAAACATACTTCAGCAGCTTTGAATTATTCAATTTCATTTGTTTAATCAGATAGTTTTAGCCCCTCCAAATTGATGCCTTAAAAAGAGCTGTATATTATAAAATTTTAAAAAAAAGTATAATTTTATCAAAGGGAGGAACTGGGTAGGAAGACTAGGAAAAGTCCTTTTATTTCTCATCACTGATTTCACCAGCAAATTTCAAAAGCCAAACCTACATCAAATAATATAAACAGAAGTGGCATTTTTATGTGGAATGCAAAAACGCACACATTCACATACATATACATAAATATATACATATATGTTTCCTTTACAAAGCTTTAATGGTTGCATTACCAGCATGCAAACCTCTTCTTCCATGGAAATTCCTAATACTGACAAGGAATGTCTAAAATACTTAGAGACATATTTCCAGAAAACTGTACTCTCTTCTCTTCTTGGCTCTTAAGAGAATTTTCCTGCCAAACTTCTACCAATGATCATTTAAAAAAAAATTTACAACCACATTGGTAATACACATTTAAAACATACTAACAAAATGGCCATCTTGGACTTAAGAAAAAACGAGGAGGAGAACACCCCACAATAAAATCTAAACTCTTTGAATGTGGAACTTAGCTTTTGATATTCCTTCTCAGCCACATTTTGTTGCATCACTGTTTAAACAGAAGCAGCATTATCATCCAAGATATTTGCAAATAACCTAGGTGTCACGTTTCCCAGCTACTATCTTTAAATGCAATTTGTACTAATCTGAGTTCTAGTTCAAAAGCATCTGGACGATCCTGAGGGTTTGCAGCCAGCATTTCCTTAATCAGCTGTTTCATTCGCCCATTCATAGACTTTTTCTTCACAGGAATGAGAAGTTCCATTTTGGGATTTTCCAGAAGTGCCTCCCCAACAGGTACAATCTCAGTTCCTTGTTTTACATAACTCCCCAAGAGTTCTTTCTTTGTCTCTGTGTCTATGAATGTGATTCTTTCCAGCATTGCCCAGATGATAATTCCCAGTGCAAAGATATCAGCCTTTGCTGTGTAATGTCCCTCCCACACTTCGGGAGCCATATAGAAATCTGTGCCACATGCAGTGGAAAGGAAACATTTGTTTACACTGACAGGTTCTTCTGGGTTCTGCCCAGAGGCTGAACAAACTTTACTTAGACCAAAATCAGCCACTTTTAGTGTGGGTTCCAAGTCACTGGTATCCAACCGACTTTGAGAAATCAGGATGTTATCAGGTTTTAGATCTCGATGGATGATCTGGTTTTTATGTAAGAAAGCCAGGGCACTGCTTAGCTGAAGCATAAAGCTGGTATTAGTTTTACGATTGGGTTTTCTGGACAACAGATACTCATTCATATCTCCTCCATCACAAAAATCCATCACAAACCACAAGTAATAGGCGCTTCTGGGATCAAAGGCAATTTCTCCTTTTAATGAAGTCTCTACAAGCTACAAGAAGGGGAAAAAAAGATTACAATCATATGCAGTTTATATAATCCAGTACTTAGAGAAAGTAACTGGCTACATCAGTCTCCAATTTAAGTGGAAAATCTAAATATTTTATTTGGACAGAGCTTTCATATGTATATTTTATCTTAAACTTCAGAACTTCAAACTATCATTTTGTCCTTAATATAAATATATTCCCAATCTCCAAGTCAAGATAAATAGGCATTTATTTTAAAGTAGATTTGTTTTGAAAAGTGTCCCACAGGCTATGTTTTCTGTAGATGTCATTAAATCAACTACCCACCTAGCTAATACCTTCATGAAAAGACCAGTTTCAATAGGCCTGAGAGATTGTAAACTGAGGGATAAACATAAAACTAGAAAATTCTATTCAAAGAAACTACCTGAATTCACACACACACACACACACACACACACACACACACACACACACACACACACACACACACTTCTTGCTCATTGCTAATAATTGTGAAATCAAGAGAAAAAGAATATGGAACAATGGAACAACTTGTTACAGAAATATAAAGTGCTCCTGCAACCAATAATAAATTAAAGACTGGTGCCATCATTTCATAAACTTCTACAGACAGTATGCAAATATTTTTGTTATCTCTATCAGTAAGTAACTTCTAAAAACCAATTTACGAAAAGAAAATTTGTATTCACTATAAAAATTTAACCACATGTATATTTCCATTAATAGAAAAATCTAAAATGCATCACTGTTCATCATTGTTTTTTTCTTTTTGGGTCACACCCGGCAATGCACAGGGGTCACTCCTGGTTCTGCACTCAGGAATTACTCCTGGCGATGCTCAGGGGACCATGTGGGATGCTGGGAATCGAACCTGGGTCAGCCGGTTGGAAGGCAAACACCCTACCCGCTGTGCTATCGCTCCAGCCCCCACTGTTTATCATTTTAACATTAAATATAATTGTGTTTTTTGGTGGGGTTAGGGGTACACCCAGTGGTTCTCAGGACTTACTCCTAGCCTTGCAATAAAGGATCATTTTTGGAAGGGTTCAGGGGACCATATGAAGTGCTGGGGATTGAACCTGGATTACGTGCATGCAAGGCCAAGTTCCTTACACCCACTGTACTGTCTTTTAATGCAGAATTCAAAAATATTATTTCACTGAATATGAACTAGCATTCTAAAATAGAGGTATGTGGTGCTATAAAAGCAATTTTTGGGGCTGGAGCGATAGCACAGTGGGTAGGGCGTTTGCCTTGCACGCGGCCAACCCGGGTTTGAATCCCAGCATCCCATATGGTCCCCTGAGCACCGCCAGAAGTAATTCCTGAGTGCAGAGCCAGGAGTAACCCCTGAGCATTGCCGAGTGTGACCCCCCTCCCCAAAAAAAAGCATTTGTTATATTGTTATATGGTGTCCTTTTCAGACCCAAGGATTGAACAGAAACTCAGTAAGAAAATCAAAAAATATCTTAAGGGCAGATCGCTAATTTTACATTTAAGTTTAATGGTACTTCATCATTTTAGTGGGCAGAAGGAATACCTCCTTATGTGACAAATAGATGATTCAATGATAAGCAGATGTCTTTTTTAGCCTGCATTTTCCTGGTTGCATGCTGGTCAAGTGAGACACTAAAAATTTAGGCATAAATTACACAATTTTTACCAGGTACACTATTACTTAATTACAAACCAGTATCATCTCTCTTCATTTCCTCGTCTTTACTCTCAAAAGCAAACTTTCTTAATATCTTTGAGCAATGTAGAGCAATGCGGACTGGTTTAGAATAAGGTCAGAGTAAGTATTTTGGGTGTGACAAGCCACAAAAAGTTTCGTAAAAAATGTAAAATAATGGAACTGGAGCCATAGTACAGCCCATAAGCACTTGCCTTGCATGCGACCGACCTGGGTCTTATCTCTGCTATCCCATATGGTCTCCTGAGCACCACCAATAGTGATTCCTGAGTGCAAAGCCCAGAGTAATGCCTGTGCATTGCCAGGTGTGTCACCAAAATAGAGCATCCAAGCCAGACTATAGTTTTAGGGTCCCTTGGTTGAAGTGTAACACATACACAAAACTTAATCTGCTTATTTTCATGTGTAGAAAATGTTAGTCTTGGTTCTCTTGTGTAAAGTCTTTCAACAGCTTTCTTGCTCTCTGAGGATAAGTTTAAGCTCTTTAACATGGATTGTTCATGAATCTCTTTGCTCTGATCTCTGCTGATTATTCTATCCTCATTCAAAACAACACTCCTGTACAATATAATCTTATTACTTTCTTTCAACTTTTAAGAGTGTTATGCTTCTTGCTTTGAGATAGATGGATATGTTCTTTCTTCCTAGGAAATTTTCTCATTTGCTTAGCTAACTTCTCTTTACCCACAAATTTTAGTTTAGATTGTTCCTAAATCTTGAATGCCAGTATTATGTCAGGTTCCCTATTATATGCTCCTGTACCACCTAGAACCTCTCATTATTGAGTTATCACCAGCATAGCCTACAGAGTTCCTAGTCATGAGATTATGTCCTCTATTGTTTCACTTTTGTTGTTATTTTTTGGGCCATCCTGCAATGTTTAGGGATCACTCCTGGTGAGGCTGTGGGGACCATATGTGATGCAGGGGACTGAACCTTGGGTCGGCTTGTGCAAAGTAAGAGTTCTACCTGCTGCACCTTCTCTCTGCCCATTTTACATTATTTCATCTTTTGGTTTTTGAGCCATTCTTGGTGGTGCTCAGAGCTTAACCCTGGCTCTGTGCAGAGGGATCACTTTTGGAGGATTTGGGGGACCATAAGGGGTTTCAGGGATCGAACCTGGGTCAGCTACATGCAAGAGAAATGTCCTACCCACTATACCATCATTCCAGTCCGTTTTACATTATTTTTTAAGACAATGATTTTTGCTCTTAGAAAGTGATTTAATGATTTCAACTGGTAACAAGGAAGGGATGTAGAAAAATATGGAGAAAAATGTTTTTGCTGAAAATTGGAGAACATAAAGATTGGTCATACAAAGACTTATTTTTACTATCTGTGAATTTGAAGAAGGCACTTGCTAATAAATATTTTGTCAATAAATGTCTGGTTAATTAAACAAATCCACAGGATAACAATTTTCTGGTCATACCCTACAGTGCTCAGAGATCACTCCTGGTGAGGCTTGGGGACCATATGTGTTGTCTGGGGTCAAACCTGGGTTGGCTGCTTGCAAGGCAAAGGTCTTATCCCTCTGTACTATTGTTCAGGTCCAGAAAAATGATTTTAATAAACGATTACTAAGTAATTCCTAGTTGACAAATATGTATCTGTATTACCTCTAATTTTGACAACACCAAAGGAAGGTAATTATTATTTGTATGTTATATATCTTTTTTTTTTAGGAAGTAGGAGATTGGGTATACCTGGCAGTGCTGGGGAGGTGTGTTTCTCCTGATAGAACTTGGCTTTTGTTTGTTTTTGGGCTAAATCCCCCTGTGCTCAGCTCTTATTTTTGGCACTGTGTTCAGGATCATTCCTGGTGATACTTGAGGAACACATGGGGTACTGGGGATCAAACCTCTGCAGTATGCAAACCAGATGCCCTACTGACTGTACTATCACTCTGGCTATCATTTTGTCCCTATTATTCCTAGCTATGTATGAAGAAATACATGTTGGGAAAAGTTGGGTTATTTATCCAAAGTCATACTTTTGCCAAGTCAAAAAGATCTATCAGGCTTTAAAAGATGATCAACAGTGCTAAACAAAAAGCTGCTTTAGGGTTGAGGAGATAGCCAAAGAGCAAATACTTAACTTTTGCAGATGCAAGGTTTAAACTCCAAGGTCCCTAAGCACTGCTGGGTATGGTCCCCAAACTAAACAGAAAGGTGCTTTACATTTGGAAGAAAAAAAAAAATCACTGAATCAAGTCTGGAGGAATTTGACATATTAACAGCAGCTAATGCTATGTTACTAAAATGGCTGCTCATGGGACCAGTGATAGTATAGCAGGTAAGTTGCTCGCCTTGCTTACAGGTGATGTGGTTTTAATCCCTGGCACCCCATATGGTCCTTAAGTCCTGCCAGGAATGATCCCTGAGCACAGAGCCAGGACTAAGCCCTAACACAACTGGGTGTAGCTCAAAAAGAAAATAAAATGGCTGTTTAAAACAGATTTTTTTGTTTTGGGGTCACACTTGGTGGTGCTCAGAGTTTATTCCTTGATCTACACTCAGGGATCAACTACTGGTAGCTCTCAGGGGACTATATGGAGTGTGGGGAGCAAACCTGGGTTGGCTGCATGCAAAGCTAGTACCTTACCCACTGTACTATCTCTCAGTACCCCACATACTGGATTTAAGAATACTATCAGCACTAAGAATGTTTAAATGTCTTCGCTTTTCATGTATAAAAAATACATTCTTCTTAGGAGTTGAAGTGATCAGATAGGTAAGAAATGTAGGTAGGTAGCGATTAGTGTAGGTAGGCGCTTGCCTTGCATGTGTCCAACCAGAATTTAACCCCTGCCATCACATATGGTCCCCAAGACCAGCCAGGAGTGATCCCAGAGTACAGAGCCAGGAGTTAGCCCTGAGCACCTCCAATATGCACTTCCCCAACAACAAAAAAATACACTCATCTTAGCTTCATTGAAATAATGCAAAGCTCAGCAAGTTTCTATCTAGTTCAAGAAATTAGCAAAAATGTTTCCGATACTTTCTATCAGTGCAACTTACTGAAAAACTCATACAGAAAAGTAAACAATGGATGTAATAGAGGTGAAACAGTTGTATTTTATATTCACTCTCTTGTATTTGTACTTATGGGCCATATCTGGAGGTACTCAGCAGTAACTCAGGGTTCTGTTTGGGTTATTTCAGGTATGCTCAGATGAACAGGCAGTGCTAGCATCAAATCAAGCTCTTTTTCTTCAAGCAAATCACGTGCTCCAGTCTATAAAATTATCTCCCCAGCCTCTATATTTATTGTCCTAAGATAAAAAAACTTCATGCAATTTATAGTGCTTGTTAAATTGCTCCTTATGGTGAAACTTTGAAGTTTCTAGTTACAAAGCTTAATGTTTGTGCTTTTCTGTTGTTCCTAGTCCAAAAGCTTTTGTTATAAAAACAGACTTCTTTGGGGCTGAAGAAATAGTACAGCAGATAAGGAGCTTGCCTTGCCTTGCACATGGCTGACCTATGTTTGATATCCTGCATCCTGTGGTCTCCTGAACACCACACAGGAGTGATTCTTGAGAGCAGAGCCAGAAGTACTCTGGAGCATTGCTGAGGGTGGCCCCAAAATAAAACCAAACCAGAAAAATAAAAAGACTTTTGTATCCTGATGGTAAATTCTGGGTATAGACACTTTCAAGTAAGCATCCTTGCATTTTTTTTCTAAGGATAATAGGATTTAATAAATTTTGCTTTTGGAGGTTTAAGAGATAGTCCTGGTGTTGCATGTGGCCTACCTGGGTTCAATCTCTGGCACTACATATATTCTATTAGTACCACTAGGAGTGATACCTAAGCACAGAGCCAGAATTAAACCCTCAAATATAGCCCCCCTCCAAAATAAAACAATTTTGCTTTGACTTTTAACTAGGTATATCTTTTTTTTTTTTATTTGTTTTGGGAGGCCACACCTAGCTGTGCTAAGAGCTTTCTCATGGCTCTGCACTCAGGGAACAGGTGTCTTACCTGCTGTACTACCTCTCCAGTCCCTAAATGGCTATGTCTTAAATATCTTTTCTCTTTAGTGATTACAGAACTACCAGATATTTTGTTCAGTGGCAGAAGCCTTCTTCAAAAAAGGGAAGACTGTTTTCCTATGTTAATACTTTCCATAGCTTTGCAAAAGAATAACCTGGAGGCTAAAGAATAATTTGGAGGTTAAGAGGGCACACATATTAGCTGACAGATATTCCAAGGTTCTGGTCCAATTCTGTCATGTGTTATTCCTTATCTATTCTAAGCCTCAGTTTCTTCATTTGTAATGAGGATAATAATAGTACTTTCCTCATAGGCTTGTTCTGAGCAATTGCCTTTAAAGCACTTAGCACAGAGCTTGTAACTCATAAGAACTTGAATGTTAGCTAGTAGCACTGTTAATGATATTCAAATGCTAAACTTTGAGAGCATTAACTAGACCTATATAGTAAAGAAACCATATAAAACAGATGTTTATGTTCAAACAGGGCTTCATAATGCTCAATTGCCTAGGCTTCTACTATAGGTTGTGAAATTTTTCTTTCTTTAGCTTTCAGTTTAAAAAATTACTTTCAAAGAAGTGAACTTAATAATAAAAAGTGTCTACTTTTTATCACTGTTCTATCTCACATGTCCCATTCTGATGCAGACTGGAACATATCATGGTAAGATATGTCATGTTATTTTTAGGTATTTACATCACAGGTTTAAGTAAACCCTTGTTTTTATTTTTTAGTAAGTTTTATTGCATTACTGTGAGATAGTTACAAACTTGCATGATTACATTTCAGTCATACAATGCTCGAGCACCCATCCCTCCACCAGTGTACATTTTCTACCACCATTGTTCCCTGTGTCCCACCCTCCACCCCCACCCCATCCCACTCCCTGCCTCTATGGCAGCTACAATCCTTCTTACTCTCTTTCTAATTTTAGGCATTATGATTTGCAATACAGATACTAAGAGGCCATCATGTTTGGTTCCTGGTCTACTTTCAGCAGACATCTCCCATCCCAGGCGATTCCTCCCATCATCATTTACTTAGTAGTTCCTTCTCTATCTCAACTGCCTTTTCCCCCAGCACATGGGGCCAGCTTCCAAACCACGGCGTGATCCTCCTGGCTCTAAACCCTGTTTTAAAGCAAACATCCTACTAATTCCTGGCAAACCCTAACTATAAGCACCTGCCTTTAAAGGTAGTTCTCTGGCCCTTTCACTACTCCTCTTGCTGATCAATTTATGTTCAAATAATTTTTATTTCTCAGACACACATACCTGTAAGTAAAGGGAAGAATTAGAGCCATGAGACATCTTCTGCACCATCCCATCTTTTTGCAGGATGCATTCTTCCAAGTGAATCACATTAGGATGTTGGCTCTTGATACTGCTTAGCGCCCAGAACTCACGCAGGGCTAGTTCAACATTTTCAGGCGCATGGCATCGAATTTTCTTCACAGCCACCCTTGCAGAAGTCTTTCTGATTACTGCTTCATACACAACACCGTAACTACCTCGACCTACCTCCCGTATTAGATCGTACTTTGGCTGGCTACTCACCATCTTCAAGGTCAAGGTTTCTGAAAAAATCAACAAAGGTATGTTGAAATTTAGCATACCTACTGACTTGCATTTTGTCTTAAGTATAATTTGGTAATAGTTTGTCTCATTGTTTTCTATAATTGAAAGTAGCTAACACTAACAATACTATGTATCAAGACTTTCACTTTATAATAGTTATTTAATCCTCACAACATGAGGTAGGTACTATTGTGATCATTTTATAGATGAGACACAAAAAGCGTGAGAACTTAAGCGAAATATCCAAGGTCAAACAGCTAGTAACTGAGGGTGGGATAGGTGGGGGGCTGGAATTAAAAAAGAAAAAAGCTGGCTCTGACGTGTGTGTGTGTGTGTGTGTGTGTGTGTGTGTTTGGGCCACATCCGGGGGCTGCTCAAGGACTACTCCTGGTTCTGCACTCAGGAATTACTTCTGGCGTGCTCTGGGGACCAATGGGGGTGCCAGGATACAACCCGTGTAAGCCCAAGTAAGGAGCATGCGCAAGAACACTACCTGTGGTACGATCACTCTGGCCCCTGACATCCACTTTTAACCATTGTTGTCTCTACACAAACTGCTTCAAAATATCATTGTTAACAATCAACAAAAACCTTTTCCTTATTTACCGATTCATGAGAAAATAAACAGAATCCCAAGTCCAGCTTCTCTAGAGTTCAGAGAGAGAGAGAGAGAGAGAGAAAGAGAGAAAGGTCCCATGAGCAACAGAACCCCCACCAAAAAAACCTCTCAGAAACGCAAACACTTGGGTTACACTTGGAAAAGTGAATCAAAGCCCTGGAAGAAACTGAAAATGATCCGCCGTTCTTGTTAAGAAGTTCGTGGCCAAACTTTAACTTTGTTTTCTTTATGTGAATTGCCTCATAAAAACAAATGAAAATAGAGTCTGTGGAGAGAAATGTTCCCTTAAAAACAGAGTTACTCAGAAACACGGTTTCCTTGCTGCTGTGGAACAAGTTATTTAGACCTAAGTCACTTTGGCCGACAAGAAGAAAACCGAGCCACATATCAAGAGTCGGAATTCAACTGGACAAATCATTCATTTAGGGGCAGGCACCGAGATCCTACACAGAATCATTACGGCAAGGAATCGAGGATGCTGCTCATTCCCCAAACGCCGGTCACGACTGCACGGGGCGTCAGGGGCAGTTCAGGGGTAGTCGCCACCGCGCTCAGGAAGAGTAACCTAAGATCGTACAGTTTTGGGGAACGAACAAGGCTTGACAATGTGACACTGTGGCTAGGAGCCCCTAGGATGGACCGAGTCAAGAAACCGAAAGCTCCGGGCAGGGCTTCCCGCTCCCACTTCCTCCAGCGGGACGCACACCCCGCAAACTTGTACCGTATTTCCCCGTGTGCGCCCCGCCATCCTCCGCGCTCCCCGGGGAGCCCCAATTCCGACCGCCTTTAGAATGGCTCGCTTCTCCGGAGGAGCCCCCCACTCCCAGGAGGGGGCACCTGTCTAGAATGGGGGTGGTGGTGGTGGTGAGAGAGGGAACCCCGGGGCTGCCGGATGCCAAGTGCACGGAGGTATCTCCCGCGCGAACCGAGCCCGCTGGTCCCGCGTCCCCGGCTGCCGGCCACCTGCGGGCGCCCAGGAAGGGGCCAGTGCGGGGCAGAGGTGTCGTCCGACGCGGCGGCTCCGGGCCGCGCTCATTGGCCGAGTCTCCGGCCCTCCCCCTCCCTGACTGGGACCAGATGAAAGCCAGTGGGGCACGCCGCGAGGCCCTTCGCCCCGAGAAGCCCGCCCTGCAGCGGGGCCGGCTCCCGGGGTGGGCGGCGGCGGCTCGGGGCCTGGGGAGAAGGCCACCGGCGCGAGGGGAGGCCGCGGCGGGGGCCAGTGGCCTGAGAGGTGCGGGGCCTTCCCCAGGATGACTGCACTGCCAGGTCCGTGACAGGCCTCCTGGCACACGCAGGGCCCTCGGCTCGGCAGCAGGACGCGGCTGCCGAGCCGCAGGGCCAGATTTACCTCAGGGTAGCCGCCGCCACTTCTCCCTCTCACGGGCTCTGCAGGCCGCCATTATCGGGCAGCTCGCGCCTCTGCCGCCGCAGCCTCCAGTCAGAGGCCGGCGCGCGCCCCCGTGGTGCGCGCGGACACACCCCCTTACGCCCGGCGGCCCCGCCCCCCTCCGGCTTTCCGTAGCGCGAGCCGGGCCGCCCCGCGCCATCCCCATTGGGCGCGCGCCTGCGCGGCCGCCGCCGCTCACCGGGAGCTTTCCAGGAGCCTGGAGTTCGCGGAAGGTGTGCGCGCTCCGGCACGCACCACTCATGCTTTTCCCCGAGGGGTGGATGGGCCCGGGGGCCCGCTCTCGCTCGGGGTGGGGGGGGGGTCGGGTAGGGAGAGAGGCTCGGACGCGCGCCCGCCGCTACGGGCGCGCTGTATCTGCGACCCCGGGGATTGTGTGTGCGGCGGCAAATTCGAGCCGGGCACGCGCGCGCCCGGCGCGGCCTCCGCACCTCCGCCCCGCCTCCCTGCCGCCTACCGAGCTGCGGGCAGGTGTGCGGAGGTCTCCGGGCCGAAGGCCGCGTGCATTTTCCTCGGCGCGGGCCGCGGGTACCTGCGGCTGGCTGGAACCTCCGCGCGGGGAGGCGGGCCGAGCGGGGAGGCCTGGCGTGCGGCCCGCCGGGAGGGAGGCTGCACCTTTTGTCAGACTCACTGAGCCCGGTTTGCGGGCGGTGCGGATGCCGAGGCGCTGCGGCGCGGGGCTGGGTGCGATCGTCTGGGAAGACGCTGTCCCCTGCCCCGTCCCCGCGGTGGTATCTCCCTTAAAGAAAACGGTGCCCCATTGTTCTCGGGACGGGGCCCGCTGGAGTCGGGGGGCGCCCTACCAGGTGCGGGGATCTAAGATGGGGCCACGGCCGCGCGCCAAGGCCTCCTCGTCTGAAGCCCGCCTGCGACGCCACTTGCTTCGACAGTCACTTAGTTGCCCCGATCTGAAGCGTGAGCCAGAAACCTCAGCTCCTAACGTACAGATTTACTTTGCACCCAGTTTGGCAATCAGGGACCTTCCTGGCTCTGTTAAGGCACGAGGTACAAGGAGTCCCCCTCCGCCCCCGCTTTCTGGAGTTTCTCATCAGCGGTAGTGGCAGACTCGAGCTCGAAGTGTTTGGGTGAGGGGACTTGTCTTGAGTCCCACTAACTGGTATAAAAGATCCTTCCCACCCAGCCCCGTGAACACAAACCAAATCCTGCTCTGTAATATTTGCCCAATCTTCAGCAATCCGCTGGGATTACAAAACTAGGGTTTGAGGTCTGCCCCTGAAAATTTGGGATGGGGTTGGGTGGTGGGTAGAGAGCTGTGTAGGCAGCTGGCTATGGAGGTGGTCGGAGTTAAGGAATCTCTCAGGCTGACGGCAGAACTAAGAATGGAAAATACGCTGCTCTTCCAAAGATAGACTCTGAAGTTTGTGAAGTGGCGTCGGGTCGTGTGGGTTGGATGTGTAAAAAATTGTGTTGTCTTAATCTGCTTTAGGATGAATGCAGAATGGTCCTGGGAACATATTGTTGGGGGCATGGACTGGGCTCTCTGTTAGTGGAGCACTCAGAAAAATTGCTTTATTATTGCTTATTGCATTATATCAGCATTTGCATCTGTGCCTTATCATGCTAGACTGAGATTTCTTGCAGACATGAACCTTGTCAGTGATTCATCTCTTCAGCCTCCTCAATCTGATACAGTATCAAAATACACCTGAGGGTAACATTTTCATACATTGTTGGAGAGGGAAGATGGAATAAGGTAACGCGAACCAAGAAAATGTGGCAGTACACAGCCATATTTATATATAATATGTAATATATCAGCAAGCTACCGAGAGTATCTTGCCAGCACGGCAAAACCTGGCAAGCTACCTGTGATGTATTTGATATGCCAAACACAGTAACAACAAGTCTCAAAATGGAAACGTTACTGGGCCCGCTCGAGCAAATCGATGAACAACGGGAGGACAGTGACAGTGATGTAATATATATGTATTAAAATATGTATTATATATATGAATATATATACTACTCTGTGCTTCTCTTCATTCTTGTGATGTTCGCCAGGGGTCGCTGTGGTGCTCATGTGGTTAGGCAGAGGTGGAAACTGACTCCAGCTCTCCTCAGAAGACCCTGGGCTGCCCAGTATCTAACCTGATCCTCCTGCCATCAAAGTATGCACTCTGAGCTATATCCAGGGTCCTACTCACACATTTTATAATCATGGCGTTCTCCAGGGTTTGCACTCTTTGGTTGTGTTTACACACACTTGGCTGTGGGTCTCACATGTCAGAGCTGGTAGGTACAAACAGGAATGCACACTCAACAGATGTGGGGAACCAGGGATTCTGGGATTGAACTCTTCACAACGGTGCTTTTTTTTTTTTTTACTTTTTGGGTCACATCCAGTGATGCTCAGGGGTTCTCCTGGCTCTGACTCAGGAATTACTCCTGGTGGTTCTCAGGGGACTATATGGGATGCCAGGGATCAAACCCCGGTCAGCTGTGTGCAAGGCAAACGCCCTACCTGTTATACTATCTCTATGGCCCCTAAGCCAGTACTTGTTAAAACTTTCCACTCACAACCCTTTTTTACTTGAGATATATAGCAGAGTCTTAGACATTTGATTTTGAAATAATTTTTGGTTTTGTGCATTTAAAAACTTGTTATTGTTGCCATTTTTTCTCAATCCCCAAGTTCAGTTATGCTATCCTGTGTGCTACCCACAGTTTAAGAAATTATACTCCAAGCCACTGAATTATCCCCTCGGACCTCCTACATAAACATTTTCTTTTACCCAGTAATCATAATCATATCCTAATCCTCTAGGAATCTAAATGATAAATTGGCAGAAGACCCAAAAGTTGTATGCCCAAAGTTATTAAGCCTTTGAGTGCCCATTGTTGCTCAGGGTTTACTTCTATATGCTTAGGAGATTATATATAGTGCCAAGGATTGAACTGGGATTGACTTCCAGCAAGGCAAGTGCCTTACCAGTTGTACTATCTCTCCGGCCACTGATAAAGTATTGCTCATTTGTTTTGAGGCCACAAACTGGCAATGCTCAGGTTACTCCTGGCTCTGTACTCAGGAATTACTCCTGACAGTGCTCAGGGAACTGTATGGGATATCAGGAATTGAACACTGCCCCATAAAATTATTTTTATAGTAAAATATGGAAAGCTACTCTTATCAATGAAAATGGATGAGGGACTGGAGCAATAGTACAGTGGGTAAGGTGTTTGCCTTTCATGTAACTGACCTGGGTTTGATCACCAGCATCTCATGTTCCCCTGAGCACCTCCAGGAGTAATTCCTGAGCAGAGCCAGGAGTAACCCCTGTACATCGCTGGATATGACCCAAAAAGCAAAAAAACAAAAAACTGGATGAGTAAATTATATACAAAGTATATTGCTTTATGCAGCTAGAAATAGCTATGTGCAACCTTAATTCTAGTAAACATACTAAGGTGGAGTAAACATACTTAGATGGAGTAATGTCATTTACATGAAATAAACAAGGAACATAATAGTATTTATCATATGTTATCTTCTGTACAAAGTATTGGGTTGATTACTTTTTTTTTTTTTTTTTTGCTTTTCGGGTCACACCTGGTAATGCACAGGGTTACTCCTGGCTCATACACTCTGGAATTACTCCTGGCGGTGCTCGGGGGACCATATGGGATGCTGGGAATCGAACCTGGGTCCACTGCATTCAAGGCAAATGCCCTACCTGCTGTGCTATTGCACCAGCCACTGGGTTGAATACTTTAAATATAAGTTATCAATGCATACTTTGATTACTTATTTAAAAATAAGCAGTGGAAGAATAAATCCCAAGTTTCTGAAAATGTTTATTATGTGGGATGGAGAAGATGGGGATGACTTTATGAATGAAGCTTATTATATACTGTTTTGAACCTTAAGGTTTGCATGTTTATAAAACAATTCAATGAAAAGAATAAACTACTCCATTAAAATTTAAAACAAATGAGTCATCTGTATAACAGATTGGCACACTACCTACACAGAGAAAATAATTTCAAGTTTCTTGGTAAGTATTATGACTGCATCTTTCTGATGAGATATAATAAGAATAGTTAGAACTGCATACAAATATTAAATTGCATTTATTAGTCCTGCTGGCTGGAGTGATAGTACAGCGGGTAGGGCGTTTGCCTTGCACGCAGCCAACATGGCTGACCAGAGTTCGATTCTTCCGCCCCTCTCGGAGAGCCCGGCAAGCTACTGAGAGTATCTTGCCCGCACGGCAAAGCCTGGCAAGCTACCCGTGATGTATTCGATATGCCAAACACAGTAACAAGTCTCACAATGTTTCTGGGCCCACTCAAGCAAATCGATGAACAATGGGAGGACAGTGACAGTGACAGTCCTACTGTTAGTAATTTAATACTGCTTTGGGGCTGGAGTGATAGTACAACAGGTAGGGCACTTGCCTTGCACACAGCCAATCCTGGTTCAATCCCTAGCACCCCACCTGAGTCTGTCAGGAGTGATGCCTGGATGCAGAGCTAGGAGTAAACTGAGCACCACTGGGTCTGACCCAGAAACAAAACAAAAAATTAATATTGCTTTTTGGAAACTGATTCATATGGCTTAGGATAAATTAGATAAGTATATAAATGGCATTAGGAATTGTAGGATAACATTGGTTTGTCCTTTCTGCCTTACCGCAGGGAGTTTAGGTTTATTGGGTTACTCTCATCACAGTGCTCCCTTTCCTTTGTGTTTATTTGTAACTTCTTTGTGCTGTTGTAAATATTGTTTTTCTCTTCTTAAGTCCTTTGCATAGTTAATTCAGAACAGTTTCCTTTTTGTATGGACACAAGAAAACAGTAAATGCTATGTGTTTGTAACCGTGGGAGTTAATTGACTCCTGGACATCTGTTCTCTCAACTTAAGCCTCAGCTGCCCTTACTTCCTAGCACCCCAAAAGCAGGGTCGCAACGAGGGACTGGATGGACACAGGGCAAGCAGTAAGCTCTGTGCTACCCTGGCATCGAAATGGGCCTGGTCAAAATGCCATAATGTTTAACTATAAGTTAAGAGCATGGTCATGGACAAATTCTGTCATGATCCAAAAAGTAATAACTAGTTTTGGATCCTGCTAGGGATAGGAAAGATTAATCTGACCTGAGCACTGTAGTCTGAGCCTGTGGCTAGATGTTCCCAGGAAAGTCACCCCCAAAATAACTAATATTAAGTAGAACTAAGATGTTAAATAAGTAATTGGACTAAGGAGAAGAGGAACACCTCTAGGTGGTGTTTCCACCCTTGAGCCTGATGGGCAGTCAGGAAGGGCTTTCTTATGTTAATTTGGCTACAGGACTGGGTGTGGCGTCAACCCCCGGTGCTGGGGAGGTGGAGAGATGAGAGAGTTGGAGAGAGATGAAAGAGCAGGGCAGTAAGATGGAGTGCGGAGAGACTAGAAAGGGGACAGAAGGAGAAGAATGTAGAAGGAGCAGGCATGAGGAGAGAGCCCAGACTGGGAGATGGAGCCAAGAGAGACGAGCGGGAGAGACAGGAGGAGACGGGAATGAGGGGCTCAAAGAGACTGGAACAGGCGCATGGGGAGAATGGAATAAACGGCAACTGATCAATCAACCGGCTTGGCCCTCGTTTCCTCCTCCATCTGCCCTATGGCCTGGGCCGCCCAGCGACCCGACGCCCCCCAAACCCGGGCGGCGAGGGAGAGAGCTGCGCCC